TGCAGTGGCTTTGTAGAGTTTCATAATGTGGTGCTTGAACCTGTTGTGCCACCAGGGAGAGCCCTATAAGTAAAATCTTAATAAAAAAGCTATTATCCCAAGGTTACATAGGTATTATGATTAAGATTAAAGTAATATTTCATCTGTACAACTTATTACTATTGTCTATTCAGTGTATCTGGAATATAATGAGTTGAAATATTTTGTTAGCTTTAGAACTGGAGCCAAATTTCCAGAGTGTGTGTGTGTGCGTGTGAGGAATCAAAAAAAATTTTTTTGAGTATAGTTGTACTGGGGTGTAGGCCAGAGATTTGGGGGATGAGAAGATTCACTAGAGATGAGCTGGGAGCAGAACAGGTGAGACAGGAGAAATTTGCTGTGCTATGTGGGTTAGCTCCCTGGCCAGGGATCAAACTCAGGCCACAGTGGTGATAGCACTAGGAGATTTAACTCCTAGGCCACCAGAGAGCACCCAGATGTTAATACAATGTTGATATTTTCAGTAACTGCTAAAGTGATACTTATTTTCTCTCCCATGAATGAACTAAGGGATTGTTTAAAATATAAAAATGAGAAGCACGAATGAAGTACTAATCAAGGTTTTCAAACATCAAAGTTGGTGGTCAGTCAATCCCGTAACAAATACACCTCACTTGTGTCAAGTACTGCTCGAGGTGCTGGGACATAGCAGTGGACTGAGCAGTCTAAAATCCCTGCTCACTCAGGCATATAATCAGTTGTAGAGGCAGGTAATAGTCCAATACACTCAGGCTGTGCTACATGCACTGAAGAAAGTAAAACAGGCTAAGGAATATAGAGTGACTGTGGGGAGAAGGGAAAGCCTCTGAAGTAGTGACAGGTGAATGAACACGTTGAAATGGGGAAGCAAGCTGTGCAAAGGTTTGTGGGGAGAGTATTCTAGGTGGAGCAAAAGGACTGCAAGCTCAGCAGGAGGTAGAAGTGAACTTAGAATGTTGGAGGAGCTGAAATAGGAGTGTGGTTGGCGTAATAAGGGGAAGGAGGAAGTGATGAAATGATATACTCTGATTTTTTAAGGCTGAGTGAGGCTAAGAAACTATTCCAGAAGCCCATGTAAGTGATGACCTGGAAGAAAGGAGTCAGTAAGGGGTAAAAAAATTTAAGGTTACTCAAAGGGAGAATTTAAATGTACTAGCTGAGAAAATGAGGCACCAAAGACAACTCCTAGGTTTCTGTCCTGCCAACTCAGTAGAGTGGGATATCATTGCAAAGATGGTAAAACTTGGTGAGATAAAATGGAGAAGCAGTAATCGTTTTTTAAAATGACAGTTTAGCAGACTATTTTCTTTTTAAAGATTTATTTATTTATTTATTTATTTACACAAGAATGGGGCTATTGGCCAGAGGTGTGGAGGGTGAGAGGATTCACCAGGGACAGAGTGGGGAGCAGAACAGGCAGATTGACTGAAATACACTGCTGAGGGGAACAGCGAGTGGGACAGGAGAGGTCTGCCGCGCACTGTGGGTCACCTCCCAGGCTGGAGATTGAACTTGTGCTGCAGTGGCTATGGATAGCTTCACAGTGCTGTGCTCTAACCCATTGTGTCCCCAGAGAAGGTCTAGTTTAGCAGACTTTTCTAATAAGACATTTTTATTGTATTTATGTTTCATTAATAATAATAAAGATAAACATCATTAGGTAAGTGTGATTTAAAAAAAAAATACAATAGTTTATTTTTATATCATTTGTATACACTTTTTTTTTTCATCTCAATTGTAATCCCCGTGGGTTTCCCATCACCAAGTCACGCATGTGCCATCACCATAGTCCTGTGCACTTCCCACCCTTTTTGATCCCATTCCCCACTCCACCCCCACAAAATGTCTCTGGTATATGGTTGTTCATTATTCTTATTATTTTCTTGCCTGGTCCATTATACTAGATAAGTATGATTCTTACAGAAGGAATTTTATTATGAATTCCACAAAGATATAATACATAAGTGTTAATACTTTAAATGGATGTAAGGATACTTTAACATATGCCCAAGAGTAACATTTGCCAATAAATGAACCAGTGGTTTCTAGTCTGGGTGCTGTTAAAAGCTCTAAAGAGGGCCCTCCCTGGTGGCCCAGCGGGTTAAAGCACAGCACTAAGAAGCTAAAGCCACTTCCGCATGAGTTGATCCCCACCTGCCGGAGGAGATCCACATGGCGTGGCAGACCTCTTCTGACCCGCCCGCTACTCCCCTCAGCAGTGTACTGCATTGATCTGCCTGTTCTGCTCTCCACTCTGTCTCTGGTGAATCCTCTCACCCTCCGCATCTCTGGCCTGTACCCCAGTTCTGTATAAATAAATAAATCTAAAAGAAAAAAAGCTCTAAAGAAAATAATTCATTTATCTAAAAAAGGTTGCACATATTTTCAATATCTGCTAAAGTGATACTTATTTTCTCTTCCATAAATGAACTAAGGGATTGTTTAAAATATGAAAATGAGGCTAACTTTCAAGTTTCTTAATTTTGGCTGATGTTTTAAAATCTTTGTACTAACACTGATTAGAGAAGTTATGTCTTTAATAAAAACAGAAGTTAGTCAATGATGTATTATTTGTTTCATGGACAGTCTTTGAAATCGCAGGTTCTGGCCTTTTAAATAATGTGGATGTAGGGCTGGCTAGTAGGGATTCTAGATGTGGCTTCAAGGACGGTTTCACTGAGTCAGTGGAATATTTTGTAACCTCAAATGCAGAATTGTTTAATCTTAACCCTTTGTATACGCTGTATCTTAAAACATGCCATGTACCTTTGTGCGGCTCATAGCTGAGAGGACGAGACAGACTTGCTTTAAGGTCAAACACCGGTTTTCTGTGAGACACTGGAGTCTGCACTGCATCTGATGTCCATTTGAATGGGGTAGTAACTAAAAAGAAACAAAAAGCAAAATTCAATGTCTAAAGAAAAAAAAAAAAGGACCTGCTATAATTAAAAAAATTAAAATTATCACTTTCTATTTAAAAAATATCTATATGAACAGTCTGAAATAGATGTGAGGTTAAAAGGAGAAAGGAAGAGGAAAAAAAATGAGGAAATTTAACTGCTGATATTTGTGACCCCTATAGAGGTTCCCCAAATATTTATAATATGATCACAAATCCTAGGATCAGCTGGGAGTTTAGAATACTGTTGAGAGAAGTAACTGGAGAGCTTTCCAGACTATTTTCCTGATGTTCAGTACCCCTTTAGAAACTCAGATTTATTTAAATCCTGTAAGGAACCTAATCACAAATAGATGAAAAAACTCATGGCACTGAATGTGAATTTTGTATCCCATACCAGGTAAGCCAAAGTTTTGCTGCAGTTAGATAGCATAGACCTGGCATATTTCATGGCCTTTCCCCTCCCTCAGATTGTATCCAGGCCACCACCAAATGTTAACACTTGTCTATATATGCAAAGGAGCAACCCGGATCCAGGATCACCTCATTAAAACAGAAAACATAAAACACTATGCTTAAGCTATCTCACTATGTTGATACCAAGTATTGGCAAGGAGAAGAATGAGGCTGATACACACTGATTACAAACTATAAATTACAATAATTCAACCAGTGAGGAAATATCAGCATACTCTACTATCTAGGAGCCTCACAAGATCTAGTGTAACTCTTGCACATGTATAGGAGACATTAACGGTCACAGCTACACTATACATAAACAGTAGTCATCAATACCTACAAGTCCATGGACAGGAAAATAAACAAATTGCTAAAAGATAGCAACCCTGCCTAAAATTTATGACTGAATTTTTTTCTATACCATTAAAAAATACAGTAAAGGATGAATTTGAAACATTAAGTTGAATGTATGAAGCAAGTCACAGGGAAAAATATTAATTTCTCTTTTGTAAAGTTCTATTTTGAAAATGGTGGGAGTGAAGAAGCTATACCATCCCAAAGAGCTACACTAACTTAAAGGACACAGCTAGGAATGTGGTAAACATTTTGCACCTGTCTCATGTATGTAACTGTAAGCAGTTGTGGATCTTTTTTCATTATAAGGTACATCAATACTGCTTTGCAAAATGATGTAGTCAAATCTTACACCAGGCCACTGTCCATTTTTTTACCACTGCGTAATGCCCAAGCCCTTTGATTTCCATATACAGGATGACTTGGAATGATGCTTCTAGCTTCAGGAAATCTGGCAACACTTTCTCTGTAATCTAGGCTTTTAAACGGACATATTTCACAGGACTCTGAGGAGAATCCTGACATACTTCTAATATAGGACTCAACCTATCAAATTCAAGCCTTCACACTGCTATTGCAGTACTTTTTAAAAATCACCCGGTCATTATAAAGGAGGATTAAGTTGATTGCATGTAGAGGAGTTTCTGGCCTTAATCAACCAATACAATCTATTAGTGGAAATGGTGGCATTTAGTCCATGAACTCTAGGGTCCTATTAGCTTAAGTTCTGGAAGGCTGTGGTGAATACTTCTCTCCCTGAGCCCCAGGAGGGACTGAGTGCGCTTCACAGAGAGATAATCTGGGGGTTCTTCCTGGATGGGATTGTAGCACTCAGGGAGATACCAATTTTTATCTTGTGTGTCTGGGATGTCCCTTTCCAGTAGAAAATGAGAAACATGCTATGGTGAAACTTCTGTTGTTGGTTTTATGGATATGGAGAGGCTTTAAAGAAAATACACATTATATGGTTTAAAGATGAATGCTAGGTGGATTTTTTTGTTTTTCTTTTACCAGCAGCGGAATCCCCTCTTGTGGACTTTAATTTGTGTGCTCCGAGAACAGCTTGGCCTTTTGGGGTACTCCCTGATATGGTGATATGTGGAGACTTTCTGGCTGGAGTCTTGGTCAGTGAACGCTTATGTTCGTTATCTTTAGTCGTGGCTGAAAACCTGAATAGGACAATAAAGTGTAACTGATCAAAATTATACAAAACCACTTTCCCCATCACCAAGCAGTAAAAGGGTCTCAATAAATACTTGTTACACAAACAAAACTCTTTTGCCAGAGAGATTTTCTTTACATGCTTATTGATACTAAAGCAAATTATTTGTAAAATATTGTTTTGTATCCTGCTCTTCCTGCCTTGGCAATGACCACACAAAGTAAATTCATGCACCTCACCTTACAGCTTAATAAATAACTCTAAGAAGCTCCCCTTCTTTTTCTTCCTTTTGGTGATAACAAGGAATAGGAAGCTGTTATACCAAATGAGTGATGGAAACAGATTTTACATGTTCTGTAGAAGAATGCCATTCAAGTGGTACGAAAGCCCATTATCTACTCCTAGCAAATTGCCATAAATGTACTTCACTAATACACTGATACCTATTTTTAAAAATTGATTAATCAATAAACAAATATTTAACATCACTTCATTTTTGTATAGCGTATGCTTTCTCCTCTTAAGGAAATTAGATGTGTTAGGAGATGGGCTGTGAAGTCCAGGTTGCTCTGGACATTACAGTGAAGCAGGGACTAGCCCCTTGACCGTGGTGTTCTTCAACAGTATTAAATATGATCTGATGCACTATTCATTGTGTTACAATATGGATACTTTAATAAGTGAACATTTTTCAGTTTACTGCATTGAGGTTTAGTTTCAACTTTGTATTTCAGTAAATGGAAAAGTTTCTCTTTACACATCTTTGCAAGCATACATTGAACTAATAAAATTATTAATGCAATGTGATCTAGAGAAGTAATAAAACAAGAAAATCAAACAGAAATTTAAAGTAAAAATAACACGTTGTTACCTGACGTTCATTTTAGTTGCTGAGAGAGCAGAGCACTTAATGGAGCTCTTCACACACAAGGTGCTCCTACTCACAGAACTGCTGGGCCGGCCTTGTGAGCGCCGCTGGCTGGTGGGAGTAAAAGCCACAGAGAGTCTTCCTCTGAGAGAAACAGGAGTCACTGCCACTCCCTTTGGGACAGGCTGCTTCTGAAGAGAGAGAAACATGTTGTGTTCAAGCTTGGCCTCATATAGTGTTGTCTCCTTGGCGAAGTGATGAAAGGCATTCTTTCTTTCCTGCCCACTATTAATCTTACCTCTCCTCTTTGTGTTCTCATTACCTCATGTTACTCCACCTGCCTGGCTGACTGGCTGAGCTGTTACCTGAACTGTGCTGCATGGTGATTATGATTAAGAGTAACTTCTGGGGGTCTTCTGGGGACATAAGGGGTAAATCTCAGCAGTATGAAGCAATCTACAGCCACTGCAGCATGAGTTCGATCCCTGGCCAGGGAACTAATCCACATGGCACAGCAGACCCTTCCTGTCTCATCCTCTGCTCCCCTCAGCAGTATATTTCAGTCAGTCTACCTGTTCTGCTCCCCACTCTGACTCTGGTGAATCCTCTCACCCTTCCCTTCCACCCCATCCTCACACTCTGGCTTACACTCCAGCTCTTGTATATATAAATAAAAACATCTTAAAAAAAAAAGTAACTTCTGATTGTGCTGAGTTATAATTATTGCCATCACCCAAGTTTATTCACATTAAAGAATGTAACTAACCTTTCTGTTACCAGAGAAGGAAAGTAAATAGATTTTCCTGGAAATATGTACATTTGAGAACATGGTATAGAGTTTAAGTACAAACTGAAGTTATTCTATGATCACCATGATCATAATTATAGATAATTTTACTGCTACCCTCTCCCCGCAATGAAAATAGTAGCATTCTAAAGTTAAAAAAAAAAAACAAAAATCTAAAGAAAGGAAAGGAGGGAGGGAAAGAAGAAAGGTAATATTCCAGAATATCAGGAAGAATTCTATTGACTTTTTTTTCTCTGTAGATATTGTCAAGGCTCAAAGAGAAATAGGGTATTTTATTATCATTAGTCTAAGATCTATTGAGACTGGAATAATTAATTGTCATCAATTGACAAGAGAGAAAGATTATTGAAATTGAGACTATAAAGCCAAAAGACATTAGATTTTGACTATATTCCATAAAATACAAAAAGAATTAAATTTCTCATCTCAGCATACAATCAGAAGAGATTCAACTCTTAAGCTCTTAAATTTGGTTAACATAAGGAGAAAGAATAAAAGCAGTAAAAATAAATATTTGAGCAAACTTTTATAATCTTGGGAGCGACAAGGTCCTTCTAACGACAAAAAATTCAAAAGATTTAAAGTCTAAAGTTTGAATAGGTTTAACAAAAATTTAACTAAAAATAAAAAAAATCCTTCCACAAGGTGAAAAAATGCTATCAATAGAGCTTTCAAGTATGGAAAAGTATTTCTAACACATATGTAATACTATTAATATCAATAAATGTCCCAACACAAGAAAATGGATACAAGTTAAAACAAATTCACAGAAAAACAGCCATTTTTAACATCTTAATAATAATAACATCTTAATAATAAAATATATTAAGTTACATGCTTTATAATTCTAATTACAAATAGGATTTTATTTTTTCCTATTATCAAAAATTAAAAATTTTGATAATTTCCATTGTTGGCAAAGTAAGCAGCAGACAGATTTCTGATTTTTGTTGAGGTCCATTTGGCAACTATATCAAACCAGTCTCCTTTCTTTTATCAAGTCAAGGGGACAATAGTTTTGGCTAGGATTATTTTCTCTAGATTTCTGGTCATTGATTATTGTCTATCTCTGAACAAATGAACAATCCCAAGATATATCACTGTCAAGAAGACTTCATTTCTATCAGTTATGCTGTCACAGTAATTCTTTTTATTTTCCAGTCTCTAGATCTTATCAAAAACCAATCTGAGAAGTCACTTCTTAAACAACAATGGGGGTGGTATGGGATTTTAGAAATAAACTCATTCACATGGGTTGATTTATCACTAAAATCAAGATAAGCCACTCATGTATTCGACACACCTTCAAGGTTATTCTAATGTTGAGGCAGTTGTTCTGCTTTTAACTTTTACTTGAAAAATAACTCATCTATATTAAGTATACAAAAAGCTTGGATTTCACTTGCATAGATAAGTATAACCAGCCTTTTTAAAAAATTTTTTAAAGATTTATTTACTTATACATACAGAACTGGGGTACAGAACAGATGCAGGGGCAGTGAGAAGATTCACCAGAGACAGAGTGGGGAACAGACCAGGCAGACCAACGAAGTACACTGCTGAGGAGAGCAGCAGATGAGACAGAAGAGGTGTGCTGCACCGTGTGGATCACTTCCAAGATACCAAATGCACACTAAGGCGGCTGCAGCCATCCAGTTTGCAGTGCTGCGTCCCAACCCCATACACACCAAGGAGGCCTGGAATGGAGATTTTCTTAATGCTATACCTTGTTTTTCTTAATTGTTTGCTGGAAGGTTGATAAAGTGTCTTCGGTTGTATCAGCAGGTTTTATAAATATTGATCAAATGCATGTCAGTTACCAAAGATGTTATTTCTTACTAAGAAGTTCATATACTTTTGTTTTCTATTTTTTAGTTATGTAGAATTATCATTTTTAATCATTTAGAAGTGTCCCCTTAAGGCACCCTTGAACACTAGAGAGCATCTGAGATGATGACATCAACTTCCTAGTCTGCAGTTGTCAATGTATTACTCTGCTAACCCAACTTGGTGTTGAGTTCATAATCATCTCTTGCTAAAAGGAGCCTCGAGCCAAGCAGGACGAGAACTGAAGTCTCCCCAGGGAGTTTAGTTACCTCAGGAAGCCTTTACTTTACCCATCCAGTCAGTCTTTTTTCCTAAATTTAGGGGAAAGACAGAGAAAATAGTTGGCTTCGCTGATCACATAGTCCATCCTTAAAAGTGATAGGCAAGATAGCTGAATGTGGAAAACAGAAACATCAATTGCCCTTTTGGAAGTCAAACAATAATGAGGATTCACTTATCTGGAGGATAGGAAAATTCTCATGCTGGGAGAAAGCAATTGTAAACAAATAAACGTACATTAAAAAAAATCATTCCTGTGCAAAATAACAGAAAGCTGGCTGTATTAGCCATGGTGCACATGTGGTATCCACATAAAAACAAGATTTAATCCCATTCAGAACATAAATGTACAACATACCTTCAGTTCATTAAGTGAATTGTGTTCTTCAAAATGTTTCTTTTTTCTATCAATATATTGATCAATGGACTCCATTTTCTTAAAACGAGCCTCATGAAGCTTCTTGAAGTCTAGAATGTTCCATAAAATGTGAAAATTAATGCCAAAATCATTAATTTGCACTTCGTGTATTTTTTCTGTTAACATTCTTTTCTCTAAATTCCTGTTACTCAACTTCAGCATCAAGTTTGCTAAAAATTTTAATTGAAAATTTCAAAATACTTATTTTTATTTATTAAAAAAAAGATTCATTTTTTATTTATTATACATGCCAGAGCCTGGTATAGGCCAGAGGTGCAGGGGGGAAAGGGGTGTGAGAGGATCCACCAGAGATGGTGGGGTACAGAACAGGCAGAGCTATTGAAATACAATGCTGATGGGATCAGTGGGAGAGACAGGAGCTGTCTGCGCTGCCATGTGGGTCAGCTCCCCGGCCAGGGATCAAACTCGTGCTGCAGTGGCTGCCAGTGGTTTCATAGTGACTTAATCCCTTATGCCACCAAGGAGGCCCCTCAAAAGATTGAATTTTTAATCACTTAGGGAGATAGCATATTCATATGATTAACTTCTAGACTTTTACCATATCATCATTGCCCATTTCATTGCTGACAAACTTGTTCTATCCATAGGATAAGTGTAATAGATTTATTGTCCCCTTTATTAATTAAATGGCCTTCATTTTTCTCAAATTCAATATCTTATAATAAGTAGAAAAGTATATATCAAGGATGGGCAAGCTTTTTCTATCAAGGAGCAGATAGTAAATATTTTAGGTTTTATATCCACATGTAGAATAATTTGTGTCTCTATTTTTGTCTTTTTAACAAACTTTCAAATGTGGAAACCATTCTTAGCGTTCTCTGTATTATTTCAGTCAAGCATATAAATATTGAGTTTCTAATATATGGTTAACAGTAGTCTAAAGTAGTGTAAATATATAACAATCAACATTTATATACAAAGTGACATTTCAGCAATGCAAGATAGAAAATTACATGATCAGAAAGAAATGAGTCCCTTACACTTATTAAAAAAGATATTATTAAAGAAATTAAAAACCAGGTGGACATGTACCTGGTGCTTTAGAGACATTCATTCTCAGATATTTACTCAATACTTGTTACATATCAGTTGCTATGCTAGGTAATCCAAAGTGGAAAAATAGCTTTAAATAATGTACATAGCAATCTGATGAAACAGGTGGTAAAAGTTAAAGAGGTAGATTTGTTGAGAATGAGCTGCCTAAGTCTCATCAGTGGACATGAGAGAACAAGGATGCAAGTCAGTCCCAGCAACGAGACTTCAGCTGCTATAGCACAATGCCTCTTGAACATGGGCCCCAAAGATGCCAACAATTCCTTTATATAGGTGTACAAAACTTACTCGGAGTGGTACTTGTTGTTCTTTTATTTTTTCCAGGTTTGGAAGACTCACTGATATAGAGAGACTTCTTTCTTTCTGAAGGTACATTTGTGTCTTCTTTACCTGAACCTAAACACACAGAATTAATAAAGATTTTGAAAAAATTCTTTTCCTTTAAGAAATGTCTGAAAGTTACACCCAGAGCATTTTCATGTGCTAGGAGAAATGGTACATAAAGAGCACAGAGAATTAATCTCTACAATTTTAGCTCACAATCTTCAAGTAGGCATAAACGTTCTGCTTTCTATACAGAAGTTATATAAATATGCCAGGAAAAAAACCTTTTACTAGAATTTTTATATAAAGATGTTATTATTATGAGTGGAACAATGAATACACACATTTTCAGCAGCCTACCAAATACCTTTAGTATTTTAGCACATTCCTCAGGTCATCTGCTTCTATACTTGTTTTGATTTGCTCTTAAATCCTCCTGAAATCAAGGTGGATCAAAGATTTGCTATTTTTCCTTACTTATCACCAAAATTTTCCACAGAGATGTCATCTTGAGGAAATCTAATATGCAAATGAGTTTACAAGAAATTCTACTTGTAAAGTCATTTAAGGTCCCCCAATACATCCATAAACAAGAGGAAAGAATAATTCAGTAGAGTGGGAAGGACTTTAGGGGCTTCTGCTTGGACCTTTACTTAAAAAAGCCAATGTCGCATGAGAAACAAACTAAACATGTGATCAAAGTAAGTCCTCACAAGATATTTATTAATCACAGATAGAAAAATAGTAACTTTACATAGGAACAATCTAGTGGGGACACAATAACCAGTCAATGAAAACCAACAAGCCTGGATTGACACAACCAACACATGTGCCTGCTGGGATGATGACTGTACTGTACTGTACTGTACTGTCCTCGTACAGTATCCAATCTAGGGGAGTCAGAACTCCCTCATGCAACGTGCATGATATTAATCTAACTATCAGCACACACTAGATGAAGTAAATCTGAAGATAATAAAAACTGATCTGTACTAAAAGAGTATCTACATCTTGAAAGACAAAGGAATACTAAGGAACTGTTACAGATTAAAATTCTTGTCTAAAGATAGGACAAAAAATGCAAATAATAAGCTAGGGTTTCCTTTGTTTTAAAGAACATAATTGGAATAGTTGTTAAGTAATATTTACATTCTATTTGTTCTATATTTTCAGGGTACCCTAAAAAATTATTTGGACACCAAAAAATTTTTGTTCATATACGTTATGTTAATATGTGGCTTATTGCTTATTAAAACAAAGAAATTTAGGGCTTCCCAGATAGTGCAAGGGGTTAAGTGCCTACACTATCAAGCTATCTCCAGCCACTGCTGCACAAGTTAGATCCCCGGCCAGGGAGGTGACCCACATGGTGCAGCAGACCTCTCCTAACTTGCCACCTGCTCCCCTCAGCAGTGTCTTTCAGTATACCTGCCTACTCTGATCTCCATTCTGTCTCTGGGGAATCCTCTCACCATTGGCTCACCCCCTCCCTACATCTCTAGCCTATACCCCAGGTCTGGTATGCATAAAAAAATAAATCTTAAAAAAAAAAAAAAAAGAAACTAAACTAAAACTAATACTTGATTCATGACAAATGATGTATTCACTGTTAACATAAATAATATATGAAAAAGGCTAAAATTTCCAAAATAAAAGTAATTTTTTTTTTTTTTAAAACAATTTCCTTAATGTTTGCCTTAACAGGAAACAGCTGAATTTTGGGTTGTTTTATCTGTTCCTGCAGATAATATGCTATTTTTATTGAACTACATAAGAAAAGCAATCTTACACCACACAGATATGTGGTTGATAAGGAAGAATACTTTAATAGACTTTTCAAATAATTATGGATATTCCCCAACACTACAAAGGTTGACAAATGTTTCTTCAAGATCAGTTGCAATGTGGAACATAAGACTAATGAACTTAATCTTTTTAAAAAGATTTATTTAGAACCTCCCTGGTGGTACAATGGGTTAGGACACAGCACTGCAAGCTAGCAACAGCCACTTCAGTGCAAGTTCGATCCCCTACCCTGGAGGTGATCCACATGGTATAGCAGACCTCTCTGGACCTGCCTGCTACTCCCCTTTAGCAGTGCACTTCTACACTGCCTCTACCCCAGTTCTTGTACGCATAAATAATTTTTTAAAAAGATTTGTTTATTTATGCGTACAAGAACTGGGGTACAGACCACAAGTGGGGGGTAGGTAAGAGGATTCACCAGAGACAGAATGAAGAGCAAAAGGCAGTTTCATTGAAATACACTGTTGAGGGGAAGAGTGGGCTGGTCAGGTGAGGTCTGCCATGCCATGTGGGTTGAACTCCTGCTACAGTGGCTGCAGGTAATTTTAAAGTGCTGTGCTTTAACCTATTTTGCCACCAGGGAGGGCCCTGTTAATGAACTTCCTGTACTCTTATTAAGTACTTGTATATTAAGAAACACACACTAGAGTGTTCTGGGGTAAAGAGCACATACTCTCAAACAGTGCAGGAAAAATAAAGTACACAATATGTGCATGGAGAAAAGAGGGATAAAAGTGTAGAGAGGAAGGAAGGTTAAAACATAAGTGGTAAGGTGTTAACACTTGGGAAAGCTAAGTAAAAGGTACGTAGGAACTCTTGGTACTCTTCTTGCAATTTTTCTCTAAGTCAAAATCACAAGAAAATAAAATGTTACAAAAATTTTTCTTGCTAGCAGCTACATGATCAGATTTTTTTCCTTTAGATGCCTTGTTTCAATGCAAACCTGGTTTTGGAGTCCATCCTCATTTCTGTACCACAGAAACCAGGTCCTTAGTTAAGCCTTCTTGGTGGGATTGTACCACAGAAACCAGGTCCTTAGTTAAGCCAGGTCCTTAGTTAAGCCTTCAGACTCTGTCACACTTCTTTACATCTTGCTCTAAATTATGATTTTAAAACGTTTTTATGAGGCATGATCTTCTGTTTTAATCCACTTGAGCCCCTGCTCCAGCCTCAAGTACCCAGATTTCCAGGGGTGAAAATACTGAAATCCTCCACGAGGAATGTCTTACTGACAAAATTTTTACTTCAAGTTTAGAGAAATTTTTGGAGATTAGAGACCAAAAAAAAGCATATAATTGTCAAAACAAAAATGACCACATAGCTGGGAAGACTGACTTTGCTATACACTTTTTGTTTTTTTGTTTTTTAAAAAGATTTATTTATCTATGCATATAAGAACTGGGGTACAGGCCAGTGATGCAGGGGGCATGAGAGGATTCACCAGAGACAGAGTGGGGAGCAGAACAGGCAGATCTACTGAAATACACCACTGAGGGGAACAGCTGGCTTGACAGGAGAGGTCTGCTGTACCATGTGGGTCACCACCCTGACTGGGGATTGAACTTGGCTGTAAATAGCTTCATAGTGCTGTGCTTTAACCTGTTGCACCACCAGGGAGGACCCTGCTATACACTTATAACTGTCAAATGAACATATCTGGCTACCCATAGAAATTCTGGGTTTTTTTTTTTAAGTTTTTCCACGTACCAATTATTTCACTTTTTCCTGAAGAAACTGCATATTCATCTCTTTGGCAGCTGTCTGATGGAAAAGGAACTTCTGTAGCAGTTCTGAGATCCTGGCTTTCCTGCTTTTTTTGACTATCGAAGTCAGTGGGCTCACTTATTTTTATCTCTGAATGATGTGTCTACAAATTTTAAAAGAAAAGAAATGAAGTAAAAGACAAATAATAAGTACTGCCTTCCAAAAACAGAAAAACAAACAGGCAAAGGGGCTAACGGGCTAAACGAAGAAAAGTAGGGGACTATGATTTTTGAGTGGCAGATTTGGTCCTTTGTGTTAGCATGTGTTACTAGAGTGTGAATCTGGGAATAGGATACTCTAGAAATCTGTCATTTTGAAAGGCACAAGTGGCAAAACTATATGTTAGGGGTGAGAAGCTAACACAAAGGTACCTAGTTAAATGATTAAAGTACCATATGAAGGTAGAAAAAAAAATTAGTCCCATACCTTTTAAGTTACATTTAAATAAAAGGCTAAGAGAATAAAGCCAGAGCCCTCTCAAAGTAAGGGAAGCCCTTGGCTAACCACAGACTCGACCACCGTAAGACCGAGAACACAGTGACCACCAGATCTAGGACCAATCAGTAAAGTGAAAAGAAATCTTACTTAATGTTGGTTTCCCTTCCCATCCTGTTCATTACACATAACTTAACACTTAATGAATATTCATATTTATTCAGATTTTAATTTGTGCTTAACACTAAATAAGTGTTTCCCAAGCAGCAGCACCTGAGATGTGATGAGCAGTACAGACACTGGCCTGTGTGAGCTCTTTTGTGAAGCTTACAGCAGTGTTTACAACCACGAGAAATCCTATGGGAATTACAGAGCCAGCTTGGCATATTTCCAGTGTTGGCTTATTTCCAGTTTGCACATTTCATTTCACCTGGGAGTCAGGGTTCCTGTGGACTGTTCTCCGCCTTCTCCTTGTTTTGGTGACGTGGCCAGCTGGTTCCCTCTCAGCTTGGTTCTGGCTGCTAACATCAGTCTCATCACAAGAGGATGCAGAGATTTGACTTTCATCCTGAAAAGAGACATGTAAATCTGCTAAGCCCTTTGTAGAATTAGAATGTAATTGGGAAAAATCAGAATTTAATGTGAATAAAAAACTTATAGTATATATACAAAAGAAAACTGCAAACTCTCTAGCAATAATTATAGGCAAGTTCATCCCTAACAATCACATTTAACAACTCAAGCTAAAAACAGGTGAGGAAAACATTCAAAATTATTTTAGTGTGAATAAAAAAGGAAATTATTAAAAATACATTAACCTCCTGAAAATACACTATGTGCCAGGTAATGTTGTAACTAAAAATAATTATAGCTCATATAAACAAATTTACTGGGATAGGTAATTACATAAATTGTCTAATTCCTTGAAGTCTATGAAACAGTTATTAGTTATCCCCACTCCATAAATGGGGAAAATGGGAGAGAAAGAATCCACAGTAATTTGTCAAAGGCAAAAATAAGGGAGAAAGATAAGAATGGCACTTATACTGTCATAAATGAAAAGTAAAGAGCTAGTTATTAAAACAATGTGATACAGGTCCCAGAATATCCTAAGAAAACCTGCTTATGCATGAAATCACTGTATGATAAATAGTGGGGTGCTGGATTCACTGACATATGACACCAAGAAAACAAAGTCACTGTTTTTTATATATCAGGTAAAGGACCATGTAACTTGATCATTCTCTCACCAACATGAATTAAAGATAAGTGCAAAAGATGAAACTATAAAAGGCCTAGAAAAGACAACAGGTAATGAATAATTATCATCATTGTGAGAAAGGCCTCTCAGGCATATATCTTACTTAGGTATTATAAGACTGTAAGGCAGTTTCACATTTAAAACAAATAATTATGAAAGGATTTACCATAATGATCTCTTCTCTTTGGTAATAAATGTCTTAAGTCATCACTAATCCTGTTTACTGCTCATGATGTAAATAAGATTGTTTTGCTATTTGTTAAGTGATGAAAAACATCATTTACCTGATGCTCATTTTCTTTTCTTTCTTCATGTTTAAGGTGAGCTTTCAAGGCTTTTAACAACTTGTCAGCCTGTAGAAAAGTTAAAGTACCTTATCAGTAGAAGCAAAAATCAATTAAGCAAGAGAGAAATGTCTTGTTATAATATTCATCAAGTGTCCTCTGAACAGGATCTGCAAATACAACTTGGGCCCACAGATTTCACAGTAGAATAGAGACATCAACCAAGGCAAGCTATGATCAACACACAGTGCCAATGAGGAGGCATAGGCTTTTTGAGAGAACACCAGTAGCTTGTTCTGCCAAGCTTGGCCTACGAGTGCACACTTCAAGATGTACTTGGGCATACCAGTTTTAACATGAAGATGTGATATCATTTTCAAGGGGTGAAGCACATGCTCTTGCTGCTGAGGTGTGAAGGACAAATGAGAGAGTAGACCACAGGTAAAGAGGCACAGAAATAAAGGAATGCAAGAAAGAGGGTAGAGTTCAAAAAATGCAAGTTTAGTGTGACTGGAGTGTGGTGCTGTTGGAGGGGGTAGTGAGAGAGAATGTTGGAAAAATGAGCAGAGGCCTGATACTGTCAGGTCTTGAAAACCTCTTAAGAGCATTAACTTTGACTTTAGAGCAATAGGCAGTCTTCGATGACTTTGCAACAGGACAGTAGGTAATCAGTTTCGCATTATTCAGAATGGTCACTGGCTATAGAGAGTGTAGGATGCATTTGGTTGGGGCTAAGATGTTAGACAAAAAAAAAAAAAAACAGTTTAAAGTTGATCATAGGAAACATGACTGTAACCTGGGTTAGAGTAGGACTAAGCAGTATGAATGGAGTCAAAACTTTTAAGATGTGGGGGCCCCTAAAAAGGGGAATGGCAAAGGCAAGATGGTCTTAGAAAAGAGGGTAGTTACAGGTCCTTCAGAGATAGGAACTCCTAGTTTCTTTCCTGATCCCAGAAACCTTCTTTGCAGGTCTCTTCTGAAAGAGAAATACAATGGCAGGTCTTTAAAATTTTAAAAGCACATGGTTCATGGTTCTCTCTTTCTCCTCTCCCACCCAGTCATGCAGCTGAGAACCATAGATTCCTTCTTAGCTGGATGGGGGCTCTGCCACTGAGCACAGCTCTTCTTATTCCAGTGTTTATTTATTTATTTTAAAAGGATATTCTCCATTAAAAAATTTTTTAAAAATTTATTTATATATGCAAGAACCCAGGTATAGGCCAGAGGTGTGAGGGTTGAGAGGGTTCACAGAAATAGAGTGGGGAGCAGAACAGGCAGATTAACTGTAATACACTGCTGAGGGGAGCAGTAGGAGGGTCAGGAGAGGTCTGCCACCAAACTCGTGCTGCAGTGGCTGTGGATATCTTCATAGTGCTGCATTTCAACCTGGTGTGCCACCAGGGAGGGCCCCTTTTTTCCACACCATTTATTATTGGTCAGGGGTCTGGCCGAGAATGGCAGAGATTGTGATTTGGTTTAGGCTTTAGGAGATAAGAGAGGCTATAGCTATTAAGGGGTGAAGCACATGCTCCAGCTGTTTATCAGCACACTGTGCATCAAGACGTCAGGTATCTAACCTGAAAATGTTGTACCTTACTGTTTACTTGCTATTGTTCATGGGAACCTTTCTGGGAGTCTTCTCTGTGGAGGCAAGGAATGGTAGGGCAGAATTCAGGCATTCCTGGTTCTTTTGACTCTAACTTACCACCCAACCACTTTATTGAAATATGATCAATATAAATAAAGTTATAAACAGGTAGTAGATATGGGTTGATTTATTTAGCGATATGTAGGGCCTCTCTAGTGGCAGAGGGGTAAGTCTCAGCACTATCACCATTGAGGCCCTGCCAGTGAGGTAACACACATATGGTACATCCGACCTCTCCTGTCTCACCTGCCTGCTGCTCCCCTTAGCAGTGTACTTCAGTAAATCTGCCTGTTCTGCTCCCCACTGTCTCTGGTGAATCCTCTCACTACCCCTCTCCCAAACCTCTGGCTTATACCCCAATTCTTCTACACACAAAATATAAATAAATAAAAATAAAAGAGAGATGTAAATACCTGTGAACTGCCTGATTGAAATAAACATACTCATCTCTACAGGCTTTCTACTGTCCCCTGGTGGCAAGAGAAGTGAGCATGAACTATTAGCAACATTTTAAGTAAAAAAAAAATATTGTTAATCACAGGTTATATGTTGTATAGATTTGTAACTCCTAAAAATACCATGAAAATCTCATCAAACACACAGCAATGATGAAATAAGATACCTGTGGCAGAACCCAATGAAGACATCTAGCAGGCAGAATGACCTAGGGCAATGCCCAAGAGAGATGAATCACATGTATAGATGTTATTATCAGCACAAATTTATCGTTTTCAACAAGCATGCACTCTGTTGGGCATAGTTCCAGGCACTGGTTGGGAACAAGAGACAAGGTCTTTGCCCTCCAGAGACTAGGGATGGACTAATGGGGAAACAGTCAAATACCCAATTAAGCTAAAAGAAATGACAGAGCAATGAAGCAAAAACAAAACAGGGTACTGGGGACAACCATATGAAGATACGAAGGAACAGTATTCCAGACAGGGGAACACCAAGCCCAGAGGCCCTGACAGGGTTTAGTGAATTGAAGGACAGAAATAAGTCCGTGTTGGGAAGCATGGTGAACTCCAGGGGTTAGTCGGGGGCAGAAAGATCAGAGGTGACCAGAAGATGGATCAAATAGAAGGTCATAGGCCATGGAAAGAATATGGATATTTTTCCTCCTAACTTTTTATGGTAAAGAAAAATCCATATTTGTGGATCTCTAGACAAAAAGAATTTAGCAAGAGGCCCTCCCTGGTGGTGCAGCGGTTGTTAAAACACAGCACTAACAAGCTAAAGCCACTTCAGCATGAGTTCAACCTCCAGACCTGGAGCTGACCCACATGGAGCTGCAGACTTCTCCTGATCCACTCCTTGCTCCCCTCAGCAGTGTACCTCACTGATCTGCCTGTTCTGCTCTCCACTCTGTCTCTGGTGAATTCTCTCACTGACCCTGGGCCTCTGGCCTGTACCTCAGTTCTGTCTGCATAGATAAATAAATCTAAAAAAAAAAAAAAAAAAAGTCAAGTCTACAGTAAAGTAGAAAGAGTTTAATAAGCACTCATATTCACTACTTAGATTGAACAATCATTAACATTGTCTCATATTTGCTGTACTAATATATATTTCTTGCCAAACTACCTGGAAATAAGTTCCAGGCATCATGATGATACTTGACTACTAACTATATCAGCCACATCTCCAGAAATGCAAGGGGGGAATATTTTCCTACATAACCTCAAAAGCATTAACATACCTAGAAAAAGAATTCCCCAATATCCTATATGTAAGCCACAATCAGATTTCCTTGTTTCCAGTTTTAGCTGCCATTTCTTTTTCTTTCTTAAGAAAAAAAAAATTCCTCCAAATCAGGATCAAATCAAGTTTTTCTCATGTTATACTTAGAGGAGTTTGAATGATATTTAAGATTTTTATTTAGCCTTGGAGGGCCTGACTAGGAAAGGGATACATCCTAAGCTTCAAATTCCACTAACTACCAATAAAAGACCATTGTGAGACCAAGAGTAAAAACAGGAAGACTGGTAGACACCTAAAGGCAGTGGCTAAAATGTGAGGGGCTGTGTCCAGATTTGTGGCTTTGCCAGATGGCTGTCAAGTCAGATTTCATTTGTGTTTGGGAGGAAGAGCTGACAAGGATGGATGGGCGTGGGCTATGAAGGGAAGAATCAAGGGTAATCTAAAGCAGGTCTGAACTACTGAGAATTGGAAGAGATCTTAATTGTTTCAATCTGGCTGTACTGTTGAAGATGCACTTAAATGAATGAGTTGGCAGCTCAGGGGAAAGGTCCCTCTGGAGATATGCATTTGGGAATCATTAGTTCCAGATGAATTTAAAGTCATGGGAGTGGATAAGATCAAGAAGAGGAAAAGCATGGCTAGAGAAAAGAAGGTGCAGGAGAATATTCTGGGGGACTCACTTTTAGATTTGGTAGAGGGAAGAACCAGCAAAGGAGACTAGGAAGAAGTATTAACAGGGCCCTCCCTGGTGACGCAATGGTTTGCACAACACTAGGAAGCTAGCCCAGCTGCTTCAGCACTGAGTTCAACCCCTAGCCAGGAAGGTGACCCACATGGCGCTGCAGACCTGTCCTGTCTCGCCCGCTGCTCCCCTCAGCAGTGTACTTCATCATTCTAACTGTTCTACACTCCACTGTCTCTGGTAAATCCTCTCACTGCCCCTGTACCTCTGGCCTGCACCTCAGTTTGTATGCATTAATAAATAAATCTTTTTTTTTTTTTAAGATTTATTTATTCATATAGAACTGGGGCACAGGCCAGAGATGCAGAGGGTGAGAGGATTCACCAGAGATAGAACGGGGACAGAACAGGCAGATCAACAAAGTACACTGCTGAGGGGATCAGCGGGCGAGTCAGGAGAGGTCTGCCTCACCATGTGGATCTCCTCTGGGGCAGGCGGGAATCGAACTCATGCGGAAGTGGCTTAAGCTTCTTAGTGCAGTGCTTTAACCCGCTGTGCCACAAGGGAGGGCCCTAAGAAATAAATCTTAAAAAAAAAGTACTATCAAAGGAGGAAATGAAATGACAATGAAGTTGAAGAAATTAAGTGGTATATACGGAAAGGAGTGTCCAACCATGCTAAATGCAGCTGTCAGGCAGGTGAGGCTAGATAGGCCACAGTTTTGTTAAGATGCAGTCATATCCGTGGAAAAGAGCAGAGAAATTGGCATAGGCCAGATAAGGTTTGGTTTACTTTTTAAAAGATGGTAATAGTAACACTTGATTGCATCCATCAGGAAAATTAGTCAGCAGAGTAGGAGAAAGTGATGCGAAAGAGACTAATTGCAGGAGTGAAAAGCCCCAGAGGAGGGAACAGGATCCCTCACACAAATGGAATGGTTGCCCATAGGCACAGGTTTTACTATAACAGGCAGAATACTCAGTGACAGGTGTAGCTTGGGTGAAGGGTTTGCTGGTAGAAGATGAGGTAATTCTTAGCAGGTTGCACCTACTTTTCCATGACCTATGAGTAAATGTCAGTAAGTGACAGAAAGGAGCCAATTTGAAGTGAAAAGATATGAAATGTCTTCAAAAATGGAAAAGTTAATGACTTTCCCATTCCTCTACAAGTGTAGAGGAACCAGATGCTTATCTTAAGATTTATGGTCAGAAATTTAAATTAAGTCACATGATTTTGTTCAGCCAGAGTTAGCCTTTTAGGTACAGGTAAGAATTAAGCACACAGCAAGAGTTAATCACGTTTGGAGATTTACCAGCTGAGAGAAGAAGTTGTAAAAAAGTGGAAATAGTGACAGTCTGTGTGAAGTTTGCAAAAGAAGCATGAGTAACTGAGCCCTTAATTTTGTCTTACTGTTAGGAGTAGGGTCTCAAAAGAATGAGCTAATCTTCAAAAGACATTTTGAATATTATCCTATTAAGGACTTTATTTAATCTCATATGGCTAATTTTTTAAAAAAGATTTATTTATACATGCATACAGTACTGGGGTACAAGCCAGAGGTGCACCAGAGGATTCACCAGAGACAGAATAGGGAGCAGAACAGGCAGACTGACTGAAGTACAATACTGAGGGGTGCAGCAGGCTGGTCAAGAGAGGCCTGTGCGCCATGTGGCCCCATTCCGGACTGGGGAATAAAACTCTCACTGTAGCAGTTGCGGCTAGCTTGCACACTGCGTCCTTACCCACGGTGCTACGAGGGAGGGCCCCTTGGTTAAATTTTTAAAAATAATTCAAATCTTAATTTCTTAGAGCAATTTACTTCATTTTTATTTTTTGCTATGTACTTGGAATCTTAAAAGATAATTATCATAATAAGCTATTGAGCTACACCAACTGTAAATAATTTAAACCATTTTAATTATGGACATTTTGAAATGCATACAAAAGTGGAGAGAATAGTGTGATAAACTCCCATGTATTTATCATACAGTTTCAACAATGTTCTTATTTCATCTAGTTCTCCTCTTTTCTTGCTATATTTTATAGCAAATATATAATGTTATGTCTTAATACTATGCTTAATGCTATAATGCTATGTTATGTCTTATAACTACAATACCATTATTATACCCAACAAAATCAATAACCAAAATACCTACTCCAAATTTACTTTCTCTATCAT